GACATTAAACACTATTTTCATCAGGCAAATCTTCTGCAAAATATCTCTTTAAAGTGTTAAGAAGGCAAGGTGTCACTTTGACGTCTAAGGTACATCTGACCTAAGCCATGATATTTTCATTTACATGGGAAATTGGGACAATGAATGTGGAAGACAGAAAAAGAATGCATGGAGGCCTTTTACATTATGGACTGCCATAGGACCAAACAAGTGCCTCTTGAAAGAAGTACAGCCATCGTTGTTCAGAACTGAGGATGGTGTGACTTCCTTCAGTGGACTTTCCACAAGCCATTGGGCAGCACATCCCTTAGTAGAGTGTTGGTGCACATCTAGGTGACTGTGAGCATGGCGTCGGGCAGGCAGTGTTTGGTTCTGTTACCCCTACATAGGGTTGGCTGCTGCGGGCAAGAACTCACTTGTTGGTACCGACCAACAGCCACAGTGGAGTTTTCAGAGCCCTGGGGGCCTGTGAACAAGTGCTCAGCTGCTAACTGGGAGAGCGCTAACTCAATCCCATCCGCTCCTCCAGGGAAGGAAGATGTTGGGTTTGCTGTGGTACAGATGGCAGCCTTAGAAACGCTCTAGGGCAGTTCTCCTCTGTCCTATAGGGCCCACTATGAGTTGGAAGCAACTCAACAAGAGCGGATTGGGTTTGCGATGGGATAAATAGGTTGTTGTGACAATTACATGAGGGCCTGTGTGTGAAGCATTCAGCATAGCACAACCACACAGGACATCGTCAAGGCAATGTGGTCATCAGGAGTAACAGGCATCATTGTGCTTGCACTTCCTCCCTGCCCAGTGCTTTACGGAGGACTCAGCACAAGCACTGAAAGAAGTTAGCTTCCTCATGTTCATTAATCAGCGGGGAAACATAGAATCACTTTTGTGTTACACCTGCTGGAAGTGGATCTTCTCTGGGCGTCCCTGGATGCCCAGGTCTAATTCCGGGTGATAGTCTCCTGTCTGACAAAGGCAAAGAAAGAGCTGAGGCATTGCCCTTCCACATGGCTCTACTTGATCAGTGTGCTCAGGCACATGCAAGGCAATGCCTGGCCCAGGGATGAAAAAATATATAGAAGGTATTACTTGGCTATATCATCTGGAGTTGATATACCCAAACCAAACACCCAGCCATCAAATGGATGCTGACTCGTAGCAACCCTATAGGACAGGGTGGAACTGTCCCTGTGAGTTTCCGAGACTGTAAATCTTTATGGGAATAGAACGCCCCATCTTTATCCCACAGAATGGCTGGTGGTTTTAAACTGCTGACCCACAGTTAGGAGCTCAACGAGTAACGGGGGAGTCCTCCCTGGAGTGGCATAGATTCCATAACAAAGGGACTGTGCGGAGAATCTGAATGTTCCCAGTGGCTTAGGGGAAAACAACAATGAATACAATGTATTGGTCCGCAGTGGTTCTACTCCTTGAATAGGAAGTGGAGAAGCATATGGCTGTGAGGCAGAGGAGGGAGGTGTCAGTGACCGCACCTTGGCACTGTGTGAAAAGTCAGCATGTATCACTGGGGTGATGTGGCTGGCAAATGTGCTGACCTACCAACACGCATGGATAATTGTGGACTCTTCAGGGGCTCTGGCTCCAGGTTTCTGCCTGCTGCTGCCTCTGCCTGGCAGCTGCCTCATCTGCTCTGAACGGGCTTGGTCAGCAGAGCACCCCGCTGCCCACACTGCGCTCCCTGTCAGGTCCAGGCACATTTTTTTTTGCCTAGGTGAAACTAAGTCAGCAACTAGAGCTGTCTTCCTGAGGTTCTGGCCCCATGGGCTGTAGCACTGCACCTTCCAGACCTGGTCGTGGGTGTTGCAGTTCTCCTACTAAACAACAAAGCTTCCTCCTTCAGAGGTGCACCCATCCCTTTGGGCCTAAGAAAAAAGGCGGCAGGTTCAGCAGTGGCCTGCAACTTCGATGGCTTCCATTCACTTCACAAGCAAGTGACCTTTCACATTCTCTTTTTCACCTAGCACTAAACGTCCTACGTCTCCACACCTTGGAGAATCGGTTCCGAATGGCAGGCAGAGGCAGAGCCGGTGTCTGCGTGGGCTACTCACGTGAGGGTATGGGGTCCTCTAGGACGTGCTGCTACTAGTCAGGGCCGTCCAGCCAATTTTCAAATCATCGGGACACTATCTGACAGCGTGGAACCCCTGGGTTACTAGGCAGTGGTATTTACAGAAGCAGGTCACCAGGGGTTTCTCTCGCAGGCCCGCTTAGTAGATTCGAACCACCAGCCTTTGAGCTCATAGTCGATGACTTCACTCTGGAACCCCCGGGGCTCCTGAATTCTGTTTGCAAGCCGACATTCTGTCAGACTCGACATTTCTGAATTTATAAAATTTCTTTTTTAATGTTGTGATCCATTCATCGCCATGGGATCAACAAGGCAGGGGGCTTCCAGTGCACCCCTCAGAGATTAGCAGCCTCTCTTTTCTGTGGCCCAACCCCTGGTCTCTCACATCTCAAATCTTTCATCCTTCCACCTTTTCCCCCTTCTCTCTCATCCTATGGATACCACTTTGTGTATTACTTGAAATATATCCTTAACACACCCCTTAATCTAGTTGGCACGGGAAGAAAGTGTGCTTTAGTGCAAATGTATAGCAGGCCACTTCATCGAACTGACCCACTTGTCCCATTTCCTCTTCCTCCTTCCACATAATGCCTTTCCTACGAAGTCCATGTTTCCCTTCACCCCGTCAACTTAGATTTGGCTGACTCTGGAATGGAATTCATAATGTCAGGAATGAAGCAGGCAACTGCAGTTCTTCATAAATATCCTTTCAAGTGTCTTGGGATATTGATGAAGCAGCTGAAGGAAAGAACCAGGATGTTTGGTCTTTGGAGGCAAGTAAACAGGGATATAAATTTTAAACTTCCGATTGACACAGCACTTGTATAGCTGACTCCTGGCAAACTGTCACAAACTGAAGTCAATGAGTTATGAACGAGAAACCGAAGGCCAAATTTAGAGTGTTTGTGGTTATTTGTAAGTGGAGTTGATTTTTGAGAGCCCTTGTAAAATATAACTTTAGTGCTATATTTCCAAAAAACCCTTCTCATTTAAATTGATTTTCCTTGAAGGCTTATCTAAACTGAATAAAACAAGATAGGGCTATCTCTGTCCACTGAAGAAATTATAGGATTTCTATTTGAATTTGTGTGTGTGGCGGGGAGGACTCTTCACGTTTGGTATTCACAATAATTAATCATAATAATAAATAATAATAATAATAATAAATATAGTCTTTGAATTAAAAAAATAACCAAACAAAACACTGGTCTAAATTTTTTGTTGGTTTTTTGTATTCCTGTACCTACATAATTCCAAATTTTATTCATGCTCCTCTGATCCTACCCATCATACTTACCTGTCTCTTTGAACCAGGGTAGGGGTGGAGTCCAACCGATCAATCCAGTCAGTCTGATAATACTAACTTTTTATATATGAATGACACTGGGTACCTCTCTGCCTTGCCCTTTATCCTCCCTGCTTGCTGGGATTCAGTGTTTGCGTCCAGAGGTGGCCCCATGTGGGCCTCTAGCCCTGGGAACTAGCTCTCTTCCCTCCCACCTTGGATCCACAGGACTCTGCACCCACCAGCCTGTGATCTCCCTGAGTCCCACTTCATCCTACTGCAGCTATGTGAGTTTGAAGAGGGCTTCGACTAGCATCAGACTTGAATTGGTACAAAAATACTTCTTAATATAAAGTTCTTTCTTCTGCATATCAGCGTCACTGGTGTTGTTTCTCTAGACCACCAGCCTAATACCGAGCCAGAAGGCCAAAAGAGACAGGGCACTGAGATACCTGACTAGAACATGGTACTAATGGCCATGATTTCAAGATTCGGTCTCCTACTAACATAAGTAAAATCACTGATCCATGGCTAGTCTGCCTTCAGAATCTTCACTGGGTTTCAGAAATGTTCTTGCAAAAAAAGTCCCAGAAAAGTCATGTCTCCTGCTGTCATATGGGAACCTTTCTGCACCTACTTTTCCTGCTCCAGATTTTAGATTAGATTTTAATCAGCCATTCCACCCTTCCTCTTGGGTTGTTAAAAATACACTTTCTTTTTTCGGCCTCCCTTTCTTCCAGCACCTTATCTATTCTCATTGAATATTTCTACCTCAATCACTCTCATTGCTGCCATTTTTTAAAACTGCCATACACTCTCAGGCTCTTACATCATCTCTGTTCCATAGAGAGACCCAAGAGACGGATGGTCCGTGAACAATCTCACAGTTTAAGGCAAGAAGGACAAAAACAATAAGCAAAACCAAAACAAAGCCAAAAGCTAAACAAAATGTCCCAAAGCAAAACCGTTATCAAAAGTAAACCAGGGGACCAAGAGAGAAGTTACTCTGATTTATGTATATTGACCTGTAATAGATAAAGGAAATGATAGTTCAGGTTTGCCACACTAGAGTTCATAAACTGAATTCTATGGGGTTGGACCTGTCTTCTTTGCATACTTACTGAAAAGAACTAGGCTGGCATTGGTGACCCCCAGCTTGTTGGCAGCCACGCAGGTATAGTTGCCATAATGCTCCTCAGTGACGTTGGCCACCGTCAGGGAGGACTGTCCCTCCGTGCTCTTAATCTCAAGACCACTGGCACTGTTTATCCTACGAGTTCAAAACAGAAGAGTCAAATGAAACACTGATGGCATTTGGACTTAGAACTTCCTTCCTCGCTATTACAATAGAGGAAAAAGAGAGAAAGGAAGGGGCTAGAATCTGTTTCTTCCTGTTCAATTCCAGACTTTCGTTTTGCAATCCCATATTATCCGAATCAGTGTTGCCCCACAGAGAAGACTCAGGAACGAGTGAGTTCCACTGAACTTGAGTTTCTGTTGTAGGCAAGAAAGGCATGCAGATGGATGATCTACATCTCTTTTAGGCTTGGTGCTTATGGGCGTCAGCTAAAGAGCTACTGACCCCCAACACACTAGAGAAATGTGGAAGAGCAAGAATCTGGTAATATGGGTCTGCATAATTACAACTCTGGTTTGGTTTGGCTATCGGATAGGTCCCTGCGACCACCTGGTGGAGTAGTGGTGAAACATACCTGGTGTCATCCCGGTACCACTCAAAGTCAGGTGCAGGCACTGCAGAGGCCTCGCATTTGAGTGAAGCTTGTCGCCCTGTGGTGGCTTCATTGCTCTTGGATTCTGTGATAGTGGGGGGATCTGTAGGAAGGACAGGCACACAGGTTTACAGGAGAGTCAGAGGAGGCTCCGGCATTTGCATGCAAGAAGAAATCTGCTAGGGGAGAGGCTGTAAAGGAATGGTCTGTAAGCATCCTGTTCAGGAAGTATCTGATTCGCTGAATGGAATGGTCATTGTTCAGTAAAATGCATGTAAGAGATTATTGATGCAACTGAATACGTAGCTTGCTTCCATGGGGCAGCGAGCAGAGGTCTATACAAATAGAACTGAAGATATGTTTTCCTTTCTACAGCACCCCACTTGATTTCACCTGGGGAAGTCTGCTACAATCGACCATCGATTGTTCCAATGGGATACTGCAATATTTGCACCGATTCTTGAAACTGTAGTACAGGAAATACGCTGTATTTATTTAAGGGCTGAGGATTTTCTTTTCATCATCACCATCATAGTTATTGTAATTTGACCTCTAAGAGTCTGAAGGCTAAAATCTATTTCAAGGTTGGCCTGATATCGTGGCAGGAAAGAAATTCAGAAAATAAAACAAAAAAATCTGTATTAGGAGATGATACTGTCTTCTTTTATTGAAGGTGTTCACTTATTGCTATGACTCGATATTTCGCTTTGGTGTGCCTGGGGTTTAGTTGGAAGTCTACGCTGGTGGATAGAAGATATCCTAATGGACCAACATTCTACCTCTCTCACATTACACTTTCCCCTCTGGTCCTACAGAACTATTGAAGGCATAAAATAAGCTCAGAAACATATCCAACATTGTAATCTGCTAGGGTTCTCTACAACAATCCTGAAATGGGTGGGGCCTGGGTTTATGCCGCTGAAACTGGATGGTAGATGTGAACGCCTGTTTGATGATGGTGTGTTTATATGGCTTAGAAAAAATTCAAGGGCAAAAGCAAAAACCCAAACACCTCTGGTCAAAGGCTGTTTTATAGAAAATAACAATGTAACTGTGTACATGTTGGAAAGACAAAACAAAACAAAGCAAAACCCAGCATTCTGTTTAGACTTGTAGAGGAAAAAAAATTTTGGGGCGGGGTGTGGAATAGTAGATGCTAATATACAAATATCAATCAAACATGGGTCTTCATCACCTGGTATGCCTCACAGGTTCCCTCCGCTCTAAAAAAGTGAAGTATTTCTATGAAACCTTTTGTAAGCCCCAAATAGCATAAACCAAAGAAAAACAATGACCATTCATTTACATGGGCAACACCTTTGAGCATCCCAAGACATCCAAAAGAATCTATCAAATCACACGAAATCATCTGTGTAACCTAAAGTGAGACTAGCACATCATACTAGTCCAGACATAGTTCAAAGTGACGGGGACCTGATGCTGAGGTGCAGGGACGGAACCTGGTCGTGCTCTGGAAGAGCTGGCTGCAAAGCAAACGCTGTGAGTTCCACTTTTTGCCTTTTGTCAGCAAAGCAAAAAATTCTCCTCGGATTTCTTTTGGTTAGTGAAAACACATACTAATTTAAGAGGTCGTCCGTCAAAGCAAAGTGGCAGAATGTGAACTTTTGAAGAACAGGGAGTACTTAATTTTTTACGTTTGTTTGGAAACGGTTTTTCCATGTTTCCAACCTGTGGAAGATTCTGATCCTACCTGTTTCACTCACTGTAATCGAGTCAATTCTGACTCACAGTGAGGGCTGAACTGCCCCTACTTCTCGGGAGTAGAAAGCCCAATAGTTTTAACAAGTAGAAACACAGCAGCTCAGTCTACGATGTCCCCCTTCATGTAATTTGAGCATCAAGGTCAGAGAGAGGAGGGTTCACAGGGCTTGGACAGGCCCCAGAGCAGGGTAGGATGCCCGTGTTGGGTTCGGTTCTACTTCGGACTTCTCTGCCCATGGTCATGGGCACAGACCGGCAGTTTCCGTTATGATACAGAGGGAGGAACCTTGCATGGGAATCCAGGAGTCCAGGAGGTTTAACTTCAGCTGGGTTCTGTGGACCTCCTGTCACACACTTTATCTTTCTGGGCCTGACCTTGATTGCTGATAAAGTGAGAGAGTCACACTTTAACGATCTGTGGAATCCTTTCCAGCTATAAAAATACCAATTTAGTCAACAATGTCTGTTCTTTAAATATGAACAGTGGGTAGACAGTATGCCCCAAGGATGGTTCTTTTAAAAAATACATACACAATTAACCCTTCTATTGCTAAATCTCCATTTTATAGTTCACAGATTAGGAGTCATGAGTAACAGAATAGATTGATATTGGGTGCTGGGCAGTGGGCTGCTAAATGCATAGTTAACAATTCAAACCCCACTAGCCACTTCCTGGGGACCGAGGAGACTTGCAGTCTCAGGAACCCTAACAAGGGTCTACGAGTCAGAATGGACTTGCAGTGAGAGGGTTTCCTTTCCCCCCCTTAGCCTGAAGTGGAGCCTGTTGAAGAGTTGGTATCAGTTTGAGCCTTTTATTTCCCATCTTTTAGAATACAGAGTTCACTTAAAAAAGATCATCAAGATTCCATTGAAAATTCCCTCTGTCTCTCTCTCTCTCTCTGGTGAGTTACATAAGTCATTCAGAGCACCATAATTCAAAGAAGAATGTAATAATTGGTAGTAATAGTGTTGTTGGTGGTGATGGGTTGGTATTAGAGAGGGACAGGGCATAGAACAGATATAAAGAGCTGGATTTAGCGTTTGATACTCAGAGAGCCTGAGCTGTAAACAAGGCTCTGTTCTTCAACAGAGAGCTTAATGCTCTGTCCAGAGTCGCTCCTTCAAATTTCACATCTACAAGGCAGAGGGCTACCTTGGGAGGTAGCTAAGGGAACGCAGAGACGGCCTGCAATAGGGTGTGGTGAAGGGAGTGGACAGATTTCAGAGAACAGGGACCTGCGACGCAACAAAATGAGCAAGGGCTTCGATGTGAAGGAGGAGGGAAAGTGGCAAAGGTTTCTTGTTTGAGCACCAGGATGGGATGCCACCCACTAAGACAAGATACGCAACCAAAGAGCTAGACAACCAGCCGTCGAGAGTCCAGAAGTTGGCCTTCCTAGATTGGGTTGTAGGCTGCCAGTGAAAGCACTCCCCCTGGAAGCGCTGCGGCCTAGCTGTGTTGACTGAGGTTAGGGGTTGAATTGTGTTCTTCAAAAGACATGCTCAGCCCTAACGCTGGTCATTAGAACTTTGGGGGAATAGGCTATTTAGAGATGCAATTAATTACTAGGAAATGAACGTGGAGTAGTGTGGGACCTAATTCAAGGTGACTCGTTTCCTTATAAAAAGAGGGGCAGGGGCATACCTCCACAGAGAACTCCGTATGAGGACAGAGACAGAGACTGGGGTTCAATTGGCACAGGCCAAGCTTGAGGCTACCAGAGTTGGAAAAGCATCTTTCTGTAGACCAGTGGTTCTCAACCTTCCCAAAGCTGAGACCCTTTCATACAGTTCCTCATGTTGTGGTGACCCCCAACCATCACATTATTTTCGTTGCTACTTCATAACTGTCATTTTGCTACTGTTATGAATCGTCTTGCAAATATCTTATATGCTACAATTGAACATAATTAAAGCATAGTGATTAATCACAAAACAATATGTAATTATATATCATGAAATATTTATGATAAATAAATGAAATTTTGTCTTGAAGCGTGGTGTAGCATGGGTAGCGGTCTTCACACCTGGTACTCATAAGTGGGTATATCTGCATGTGGGTGGACCCTCCTGGAGACGGATAGAGGACCAGTGTCTTGGTTTCTAAAACCATGGGAAATGTGTTTTCCAATGGTGGTAGGAGAGTGTGAAAGGTTGTTCGACCCCCAAAGGCGTCGCAACCCACAGGTTGAGAACCACTGCTGTAGCATCTACAGTGTAGACTATCCTTGAATTTGGTTTTCTTATCTTTAGTACATTGAGATTTTAAGCCACCTTCCTTGTAGTAATTTGTTATGACGGTCATAGGAAACTAAGACAGCCGGAGAAATGATTCCCTCGCATTGCCATGTGTTCAGTTTTTTGTAATTCATAAAATGAGTTTGAGCCAATGTTCGGTGAACTTCTGGCACCACTCTGTTATAATAAATGAGTTCGCGATGCTGGCTCAGGCTTTGTCAAGCCAGGCCTAAATCTGGCCTGGACTTGCCACTGCATACCACCGCCACCCCAAGAGAATCATGGGATAGCAGATGCCGTCAAATCTTTTGACCACAGGATCAGGCCTGGAGGTTCCAACTAGACTGGTTTGAGGCAGAATTCATCCGCACTCTAGGTATTTCCCTCGCTCTGGCAGGAGTTTGGTTTTTTCCATCTCTTGCTTGGAAACCAGGCGGAAGGAACATTGTTTTTATTTTAATTGTAAAACTGAGGAAGAAGAACCTGGGCTTGTTTGACTCGTCTCTTCTCCATCTTAATCTGGGGACCAAGGCGGGCAGGTGTTCGCCTAGGCTTGTCATGTTTAAAATCAGATTTGGGCTCTTTCCTTCCTCTTCTGTGGACAGGCCTGCCCAGGCCGGATTGCCACGATTTGCAAAGAGTCTGAAACAAAGCGGTACGTTTTGTCCTCCCAAGCCTCTTTTACTTATTTCTTAAATTTTTCCCAGCCTGGGCTACTCATTGGCCCTCACGGATCCTGGCATGGGGCCACTGCCAGTGAAGTAGGGCTGGACATTGCGAAGCACAGGAATCTCAGGACAGGGTGACAGCGGGCAATCACAAAGCCACCATGTGCTTTTCTCCCTGAAAGCCTAGGAAGTTTCTAGTGCTAAAGTATATTCACAGGTCATGGCAAATGAGTGAAGAGCAAGGTGTTTCTAACATTTCTCAAATGACACTGTGGGATGTCTGCTCTTTCAGGGGTTATTGGAATGAACATTTCAAAAATTAATTTGTAACGAATTTGATAGAAATGAGGCTTAAAAAAATCATTGCAAATCATACTGCAGTATTCCTAGTATAGTTCAAATAATAGATGCCCTTGCTCAAAATATGATTAGAATAAAAATGTGGCTTCATAAAAATGCTGCACGGAGGTCCATT